TGTATCCTGAGATTGTTTTGTTTTAATTATTATGGACAACATCTTGCCATGTTAACATCTAGCTTGGATCTTAAATATTGTGCCTGTTGGTGATAACATTTGGAATTGGGAATGAATGAAATTTTAAAAATTGGGCAACGTTTTGTTGTGGTTTTTGTTTTGTTTTGTTTTGTTTTTTGAGACAGAGTCTTGCTCTGTTACGCAGGCCAGAGTGCACTGGCATGACTGTAGCTCACTACAACCTTGACCTCCAGGGCTCAACCCCATGAATGTGCTGGGAATCCCAATATACTATTCTCTAATTCTGGTTTTTTTTTTTTTTTTTTTTTGAGACAGAGTTTCACTCTTGTTGCCCAGCCTGGAGTGCAGTGGCGCGATCTCGGCTCACTGCAATCTCCACCTCCCGGGTTCAAGCAGTTCTTCTACCTCAGCCTCCCAAGTAGCTGGGATTACAGGCATGAGCCACCACACACGGCTAATTTTTTGTATTTTTAGTAGGGACGCGGTTTCTCCATGTTGGTCAGGCTGGTCTTGAACTCCCGATCTCAGGTGATCCACCGGCCTCAGCCTCCCAAAGTGTTGGGATTACAGGAGTGAGCCACCACGCCTGGCCACTATTCTCTAATTCTTAATGGAAGAATTCCTCACCCAAGACGTGAGCATAAATGTAATTCCAGGCTGAAGGATATTTTGGCAGAATATTCCAGAGGTAAATTGATCCACCACTGGGCTGGCTGTTTTCCCCAACTGAGTCCATCTGGTGTTCGCAAAGACAATATATGTTTTTCTCATGATTTGCTCAAAGTAAATAAAAGGAAAAAATGTTAGAGAAGAGTGGTGCATGAGCAAGAGTCAATAAAATTACAAGCCAGAGAATTGCTAGCCCCCAAGTTGTGAGTATATTTTAAAAGGATTTGTAAAAGAAAGATTATTAGAATTACGCAATAAGAAATAATGATCTCCTATATGCATGTGTATGTATAGATACCGCTACCCAATAGAAGGCCCTACATGTGAGTTGTCCAGGTTCCTGGCGTATTGGACAAGGAATCGAACAAAATGCCACGGGGTGAGCACAGATTTATTGAAGACAATTCACAGAGTAGGAGCGGGTTTGAGCAAGCAGCTCAGGAACCACCCTCATTAGGGTTTCTATCAAGCGAAAGGAACCCACCAACACCCCTCAGTGCCCTTTACAGGCCTCCAGTTGGCTGTGAAGGATTGGTCCGCGAGCAATCAGGGGCTGAAGTGGAGACTCAGCCTGAAGTCAGTCAGAGGCTGAAATGGTTTGTTATCGTGGGACGGAGAAGGTAGCCTGTGTGCGGCACCTGCTGCCCTCCTGCTTGTAGGAACTGGCAGCACCTGCTGTTTCTTTTACTTATAGGAGCTGGCTGCACCTGCTGAACCCCTCCCCCGCGCCACCCCAGTTCCCTGTTCTCCTGCCACAATATGCTATGTGTGTGTATATCTAGACATACACGTGGCAGATCATTGCAGCTCGCAATCAATGAAGAAACGCCATGCGCAAGAATTTGAAATCAGATATTCAGCACAACTTATAGTTTTCTGTTTCTCAACTTGCCTTCATGAGACAAAAGCAACTGAGAGCTGCCTTGGCCTTGAATGTGAAATGAGCAGAGTGTCCACCAATCACCTTCGAATGATTGCTGCGGAGATGATTACGTTAAAGATCATTTAACGTAATCATCTTGATGTAATCAGATGCTTTTCCACCCTACCTCCAGTCTCCCAATTTTGCATTCATATCCATCAACTCTGATCACCCATGCTACATTTAATACTTAAGAAATCCACTTTTGAATATTTTTTAAAAAGAAACGAATCTCGTTTTACACATATTGTGATGTATGGAAAACAGTAAGATAACAATATCTTTTACCTTTTATTTTAGATGCTGTAACTAAAAAAGAAAAACGGGGCTTTCACTGGCTGATGGGAAACAGTCTCGGGCTTTCTTCATTAACTGTCTTAATTAGAATCTTCACATTATGGAGAAAAACTTTTGAAAAATGAGTGTGATCTCAGGAATGTGCTATTAGTAACAGCTTCTGAATAGGTTTACTCACTCAGCGGAAACGTGAAAAGATTTTACATGTATAATGAAAAACTGAAAGTAGCACCATTTATTTAAAAAGATTTTTAAATATCACCCCAATTTTTAAAATTTCAATTAATCTTAATTCCAAGTCTTACCATCAATAGGCATAATATTCAAGATCTGAACTAAAATGATTATATGGCAATATTTTTCCTTACTAGTTAAAAAATAACTCTCTAAAATACAATCTTCTTCCTTTCTGGTAAAAACTCTATACCAATAGTAACAATGTCACTGATGCCAGAATTAAATCAAAATCTGATTGGATTACGCTGGAGGGGGAGGGTGTGGCTAAGGTGGGTGGAGAGACCCTCTCCTATAAAAGCCCATAGCAGTGAGCTCTCACTCTGCATCTGAGCTGTCCGCAGAAGCCACTGGAAGCAGAGGGAGAAGCTTGGGAAGAAGAGGTGAGTTCAATCTTACAGAATTCATTTTTCCAAAGCGCAGATATGAGAGTCTGAGGGAATGCAGTCATCTCTTGATTCCACAAGTGTGGTGTGATTCTAACTACGTAACATACACACGGTATGTTTTGGGGACACTAGGACCCCTTCCCTGGCAGCAGTAGATAAGACTTAGATTTTCAATACCAAGACTAGAGAAATGATAATCTTCATTTGTTTGAATTTCATCAGAATTTGACAGATTTTTTGAAATGGTGAATGGAGGTGGAGTCACTGGCTTATTCAATGTTCCTATGGGTTTGGTACTGTTTTCCTACTCTCCCCTTCCCACAATCCCTGGCAACCACCATTCTTCTCTTATTTTCTGATTCCATGAGATCAGTCAATTCCGATTCCACGTGACTGAGATCATACAGTATTTACATCCCTCAGCCTCACTTATTTCACTTCCCATAATGCCCTCAGTCTTCATCCACAATGGTGCAAATGCCAGGATTTCCTTCTTTTTCATGGTGGAATAATTCATTGTATATACCACCATTTCCTTATCCATTTTTCTCCCACAGACTCTGGGGTTATTTCCATGGCTATTGTGAATAATGCTGCAGAGAACCGGAGAGTACAGATATCTCTTTGACATGCTGACCTCATTTCTCTCATGCATAAACACAGAAGTAGGGTTGCTGGAACATAGTTAATGTTTTCAGAAACCTCCCTGCTATTTTCTGTAGTGGTTGTACCAATTTTCTCTCCCACCAACAGTGTACAAGCGTTCCCCTTTCTCCACTTCCTTACCAACACTTATGTTTTGTCTTTTTGATCATAGCCATCCTAGCCAGGGGAGGTAATATCTCATTGTGGCTTTCTTGCGGGAGGGCTTAGGAGGGTCTCTGGATGCCACAGAGATGCCAGCCCGTTTCCAGATTCTTAGTGCTGTCAGTAGAACAAATTCGGGGACTAGTCAGGATGAAGTGAAAGGCAAAAAGCTTCTATTCCAGAGCAAAAGTACACAGTTAGGAGAGAGGTGCAGGAGGGCGTGCTCCTGAGAATGAGACAGCGTTTGGGTTTTCTATTTTTATGAGGTCTTCTAATTAGGGGATGGAATAATCAGGAGATTTTCTGGGGAAAAGGCAGAGATTTCTTAGAATTGGGGTGCCACCCATTTTCATACTAAATGTCAGCGTGCTCAGACCTATCCTGGAGCTGGTGGGTAAGTGATTTAGTGTGGTAATGAGCAGATAATTAGGTCTGGGGTAGGGCTTGGGTCAAATCAAACACCATGTTGAACCCAGCCCGTCTCAGTCCGCTTAGCTCCATTCTGTTTGTTAAAGCCATAGCTCCTCCTTGTCCTTATAGCTAATTTAACAGCTCCTTTCTTGTTGTTATGTGAAATTAGTAACTGATACCTTTTTCTCCTGTGACTGCCCAGAATTCCTGTCTCAGTTTTAGTTTTCATGTATCTGATGATTACCGAAGTTCAGCATGCTCTAAGGACCTGTTAGCAATCTGTATCTGTTCTTCAGAGAAATGTCAATTCAGGTCTTTGGCGCATTTAAATATTGGCATTTTTTGGCTATTACCTTAAATAAGTTCCTTATGTATTTTAGGAACTTATTTATGTATTTTAGGAACATATGTTCCTTATGTATTTTAGGAACTTGTTTAATATTTAGGAAAAATAAATATTAATTTATTTTTTATCCATATCGTAGCAGATAATTTCTCCCATTCTGCACGTGGCCTTGACGTTTTGCTGCTTTCATTGCTTTGTTTTATGGTATGCAGAATATTTTCACTCTTACCTAGTAAAACTTATTTATTAATGCTTGTGTCTTGTGCTCTGGATGTGATGTCATGCTATAGTGTTTTCTTAAAGTGACATCCAGGTTGGACAGCTGGGGAAGTAGAGAATTTTCAAATGTAGTTCAGTGCTGTCCAACAGAATGATAACCCACACAGGTAATTGTAAATTTATTTTCTAATAGTCAAATAAAGTATAATGAAACAAGCCTAACAAATTCTATCTCATAAATATAATCCTTTCAACATGTAATCAATTCTCAATGTTCTCAGGGAGATAGTTTATATTCTCTTATTCTTACTGTGTCTCAAAAATAAGAGTATTTTACTCACGCCACAACTCCATTCAGATAAGCCACAAAATCAGGTCCTTACTAATCACATGTGGCTGGTGGCCACCATATCAAACAGCTCAGGTGTAGACCCCTTCACTGCATCAACTCAAAGTCTTTCAGTGAATCATGCCCTTTATTCCAATGGGTATTACAAATATTAGAAGTTCAGCACCCCAAATCATTTATATTTGTATTTATTTTATGTCTTCGTCACTAGTAGTAGTGATTGTAAATATCATGCAAAGATGTCTCTATGTATGTAAAGATAAAAAAGGTCCCAAGTACTACTGGCTATTGGCTCACAGAAATTCTAATATCATGCTTATTTTTTTTCTATAGACCATGGCTGAACACTTCAAACAAATCATTAGATGTCCTGTCTGTCTAAAAGATCTTGAAGAAGCCGTGCAGCTGAAATGCGGATATGTCTGCTGCCTCCAATGCCTCAATTCACTCCAGAAGGAGCCCGATGGGGAAGGTTTACTGTGCTGCCTCTGCTCTGTGGTCTCTCAGAAGAATGACATCAAACCCAAGTACAAGCTGAGGGCGCTGGTTTCCATCATCAAGGAACTAGAGCCCAAGCTGAAATCTATTCTAACAATGAACCCAAAGATGAGGAAGTTTCAAGGTAAGGAATCTATATGACCTGCTACAGCCCATAAAAGGAACTGGAAAAACAGTTTTCAACCATTTTTTTAAATATGGGCATTAGCAGAAATCTGGCATCTAAATCTATGCTGCACAAACAGCAGTTCTCGCCTTTGTGTATAGGTTTTTGTGGAATCTGTACAAATTTGTACAATACTTTGGAGAGCAAGTTACTGTCTTTCTTCATGTATCTTATGTGCTAAATGAAAAAAATGCTTATCAAATTATCCACTAACTTAATTCGAAAGGAATTTCTACTATGAATAAGGTGGACTTGTTAAAATTATTATATTCGAACTTTCTGTACATAAAACTTTGACCTCATCAGGTGGCTAGCCAGGAAAATTTTGATTTGGGAAAGTAGAATAAAAGAAGTAAAAGTTAATAATATATTTAGGTGTTTGCAGTAAAGGGATGAAGGGAGTCTTTAGTGTGTGTCTTTGCTGAACTACTGGTTCTTATTTCCACAGTGGATATGACCTTGGATGTGGACACAGCCAACAACTATCTCATCATTTCTGAAGACCTGAGGAGTGTCCGATGTGGGAATTTCAGACAGAACAGGAAGGAGCAACCTGAGAGGTTCGACTCCGCAGTGTGCGTCCTGGGCGTCCCTCGCTTCACTTCCGGCCGCCATTACTGGGAGGTGGACGTGGGCACCAGCAAAATATGGGATGTGGGCCTATGCAAGGAATCTGTGAATCGACAGGGGAACATTGTACTTTCTTCAGAACTCGGCTTCTTGACTGTGGGTTGCAGAAAAGGAAAGGTCTTTGCCGCCAGCACTATGCCTTTGACCCCTCTCTGGGTGAGTCCCCAGTTGCACAGAGTGGGGATTTTCCTGGATGTAGGAATGAGGTCCATTTCCTTTTACAATGTTAGTGATGGGTGCCATATCTACACATTCAACAAAATTCCTGTTAGCGAGCCACTGCGTCCATTTTTTTCTCATAAACGTGAAACTCAAGATGATCAGAGCTTCCTGAGTATCTGTCCTGTGATCCCCCCAGACAGTGCCAGTGCCCCTTTTTATTCTGGGGAAAGTAAATAAACATTTGAACATAATCATCTATAGGAAGTTTCTGTGCGCCCATAGCCAGAACTAAGAACCTTTCTGCTAGATACACATAGGTACAAAGGGATAGAAAGGAAAGATCCATCATTCTGTAAATCATGAACAGAAAGCGATTATATTAATTAGGGGAAAGTTACATTTTACTTAAAGGTTGTCATGTTGTTTTCTTTGAGGCTTATGTTTGTATTTCTGTTCAATAAATGTTTTGAAATTTCAGATTCATTTGCCAATGTTCTCTATTTCCTGCAAGATCAATGCACTATGTGTTATGGAAGTTATGAACTAAATAATAATTTGAATGTGAACCAACAGAGTAACTGATTTTCAAATGATAAGGACTTATTTGACTACAGTAAAATTATATATATATGTCTACGTATTCAGTTTAACCCAACAACTGAACACTCACATTCAAGTGCACACTGAGTATTTGCCAGAGTTAGATATGTGGGATCACAGACAAAACTCATTAAGATTAAAATTGAAATAGTATACACCCCCTTCTCTAATGGCTACAGAGTTAAATTAGAAATCAGTAATGGGAAAAAATCCATAAATCCTCCAAATCCATGGAAATTAACCGTTTTAAATAAAATTGTGATCATATATTAAATTTCAATGGCAATTACAACTATCCTGAGCTGAATTAAAGTAAAATTCACAAAATTTGTAGGTGCAGTTGAAGCTGAGTGAGAAACTTATACTAATAAAAACTTTAATCAAATAGAAAATACCGTAATCAGTGGTCTTAATTTCCACTTTGTTACTTAAGATCTATTCAGCTGCAAAGTAGATGGAAAGAAACAATGAAGATTGCAGTGGCAATCGATAAAACAGGAAATGGCTATATAGGATATGAAATCAAAGGTATATTTTAAAAGTTTAAATAATTTAAAATTTATATGTCTGTGTATTCAGTTTGACCCAACAGCCGTACACACACATTCAAATGCACATTGAGTATTTCAGAGTAGACATATGTGGTCATAGAGAAAACTCATTAATTTTAAAATTGAAATAACATACACCCTGTTTCTAATGGCAGCAGAGCTAAATAAGAAATCAATAACAGGAAGAAATTCACAAATCCTCCACATCCATGAAAATTAAGTAACCACTTATAAATAAAATCGAGATCAAATATGGAATGATGATGGAAATTACGACCATCCTGAGCTAAATGAAAATAAAAGCACAAAATTTGTAGATGCAGTTGAAGCTTAGTGAGAAACTTGTACTAATAAAAACTCAAATAGGAAGAAAATGCCATAATTAGTGATCTTAACTGCCACTTCAAGTTACTTAAGAGCAATTCAACTGAAAAGTAAATGGAAAGAAACAATATGGACTGTAGTGGCAATCAATATAATAGAAAAATGACCATATGTAAAATCAAAGGTATACATTTTTTTTTTCTTTCAAATCTTTAGTTATACTGAAAGAGAGTGAGGAGAGGTTAAAGGAAAATGAAATGAAAAGAGGGAAATAGAGAGTCAGCCAGGGAGAAAGCCAGAGAGGTAAACAGATAAAGAGAATGATGGGCAGAGAGAAAAAAGCGAGAAAAGACACAATTACCTGAAGTATTAGGAGTGAAATAAGGACCATCACCTCAGAGTCTGTGGGTTAAAGGATGTGAACAGATGTCGAACAGCTGTACAGGATGTGGGTTAAAGGATGTGAACCAGATGTCCGAACAGCTGTACAGGATGTGGGTTAAAGGATGTGAACAGATGTCGGAACAGCTGTACAGGGATGGTGGGTTAAAGGATTGGAACGAGATGTCGACAGCTGTATCAAGGATGTGGGTTAAAGGATGTGAACAGATGTCGAACAGCTGTACAGGATGTGGGTTAAAGGATGTGAACAGATGTCGAACAGCTGTACAGGACAGTCCTCAACAACCATAACTTCCAGCTGAAAATGTCAGTAGAGCTGAGCCTGAGAGACCTGACCTGATGCATGATGTATCATTTTCTTTTGCTACTTTCAAGATTCTTTCTTTAATTTTGGCCTTTAATAGTTTAGCCAAGTAATGTCCACCTATCATTTTCTTAGCATTTATTCCATTTAGCATTTTTTAGCTCTAAAAACAGTTGGTTAATTTTTTTTTTAGTTGGGACATTTTCAGCCCCGTTTCTTTACTTTTTCTGCCCCCTTTTCTTTCTTGATTCCTTCCTAGACTCCAATTACATGTAAGTTATACTTGATAATACATACCCACAGACTACTCTTAATTGCAGTCTTTGCAGTTTTTTTTTTTAATTGTGGTAAAATACCTATAAGTGACCATCTTAACCATTTTTGAGTACGCAATTCAATGGCATAAATTACATCCTTACTGCTGGGCGCGGTGGCTCAAGCCTGTAATCCCAGCACTTTGGGAGGCCGAGACGGGCGGATCACAAGGTCAGGAGATCGAGACCATCCTGGCTAACATGGTGAAACCCCGTCTCTACTAAAAAATACAAAAAACTAGCCGGGCGCGGTGGCGGGCGCCTGTAGTCCCAGCTACTCGGGAGGCTGAGGCAGGAGAATGGCGTAAACCCGGGAGGCGGAGCTTGCAGTGAGCTGAGATCCGGCCACTGCACTCCAGCTTGGGTGACAGAGCAAGACTCCGTCTAAAAAAAAAAAAAAAAAAAAAAATTACATCCTTACTGCTTTGCAACCAGCACCACCATTCATCTCCAGAAACATTTTCACCTTGCAAAACTGAAACATACACCCATTAAACAAAAACTCCCTATTTCCCAATTCCCCCATCCTTACAACCACCATCCCACTTTCTATCTATGCATTTGACTCTCACAGGCACCTCATGTCAGTGAAATCAAATGTCATTTTGTCTCTTTGTACTGGCTTATTTCACTTAGCATAACCTCCTTAAGATGCACCCGTTTACAAGTGATATCAGAGAAATACAAATAATCATAAGACATGAATATGAACAATTATATGCAAATGAATTGGGTAATCTAGAGGAAATGGAAAAATATCCAGAGACATACAAACAACCAAGACTGAGTCCTGAAGAAATAAAAAATCCCAGTATATTGGGAGGCTTAAAGTGGGCAGATCACTTGTGGTCAGGAATTCGAGACCAGCCTGGTCAAAATGGTGAAACTGTATCTCTACCAAAAATACAAAAGTTAGCTGGGCATGGTGACTGATGCCTGTAATCTCAGCTACTTGGGGGACTGAGCCAGGAGTTTGCAGTGAGCTGAGATCGTGCCACTGCACTCCAGTCAGGAAAACAGTGAGAGACTCTCTCTCAAAATATAATAATAATAGTTCCAATTAAAATAACAATAAGAAAATAGAACATAAGAGTAAATTCAATGAAGAAGGAGAAAGACCTGTACAATAAAAAGTATAAAATACCAATGAAAGAAATTGACAAAAACACAAATAAATAAAAAGATATCTCAAGTTCATGGATTAGAATTAATATTGTTAAAATGTCTATACACTCAAAAGGATCCACAGATTCAACACAATCCCAATCACAATTGTCATTTTTCACAGAAAACGAGAAAAAAGTCCTAAAATTTGTGTGAAGCCACAAAAGACCCCAAATAGTTAAAACAATCACATGCAAAAAAAGTCTCACAGCTGTAGACATCACCCTACTTGATTTCAAAATATAAAACTATTGGGCCGGGCGCGGTGGCTCATGCCTGTAATCCCAGCACTTTGGGAGGCCGAGACGGGCGGATCACGAGGTCAGGAGATCGAGACCATCCTGGCTAACACGGTGAAACCCCATCTCTACTAAAAAATACAAAAAACTAGCCGGGCGCGGTGGCGGGCGCCTGTAGTCCCAGCTACTCGGGAGGCTGAGGCAGGAGAATGGCGTAAACCCGGGAGGCGGAGCTTGCAGTGAGCTGAGATCCGGCCACTGCACTCCAGCTTGGGTGACAGAACAAGACTCCGTCAAGACTCCGGTCTCAAAAAAAAAAAAAAAAAAATATATATATATATACACACACACACACATATATATATAACTATTGTAATCAAAACAACATGGTACTAGAATAAAAACAGCCATGTCTACCAATGAAACAGGATAGAAAGCTCCCATATAAACCCATGAACATGTGGTAAATTGATTTTTGACAAAGGATCCATAATACAAAATGGGGAAAGTACAGCCCCTTCAATAAATTGTACTCAACGAACTCATCCACGTATAGAAGAATAAAATTGTATCTTTACATCAAACTGCATGCAAGAATCAACTCTAAATGGAGTAAAGAGTTAAATTAAAGACCTGAAATGGTAAAGCTATCAGATCAAAACACACGGGGAAAGGTCTAAGAAATTTGTCTGGGCAAACATTTTTTTTGATGTAACCCCTAAATCACAGGCAACAAAAGCAAACATAAATTGCACCACATTGAAAAGCTGCTGCACAACAAAGGAAACAATGAAGTGAAGAGACAATCAACACAGTAGGAGAAAATATTTGCAAACCATACATCTGATAAGGGGTTAATATCCAGAATACATAAGGCACTCAAGCAAGAAAACAAATAGGTCAATTTAAAAATGGGCTAGGATGGGTATACAGTTTCGATTTTGTAAGATGAAAAGATTTCTGGAGATGAATGGCAGTGATGGTGGCAAAACAATATGGATATAATAAATACCATTGCATTTTACACTTAAAAATGGTTAAGATGGTAAATTATATGTACTTTACCACCATTTGTTAAGAAATAAAAGACTGAATGAAAATTAATAGTATTCTGTGGGATCATATCAAGTGGTATGGTTTGGCTCTGTGTCCCCACCCAAATCTCATGTTGAATTGTATCCTCAGTGTTGGGGGAGGGACCAGGTAGATGACTGCATCATGGGGATGGATTTCCTCCATGCTGTTCCCTTGACCGTGAGTGAGTTCTCACAAGATCTGATGATTTAAAAGGGTGTGGCACTTTCCTTTTTCTTTTTCCTGTCACCATATGAAAAAGTCGCTTGCTTCACCTTTGCGTTCCTCCATAATTGGTAAGTTTCCCGAGGCCTCCTAGTGATGTTTCCTGTACAACCTGCAGAACTATGAATTAATGAAACCTCTTTTCTTCCTAAATTACCCAGTCTCAGGTAGTTCTTTCTAGCAGTGTGAGAATGAACTAATACAGAATATTGGTACCAGGAGTGGGGCACTGCTATTAAGTTATCTGAAAATGTGGAAGCAACTTTGGAACTGGGTAACGGGCAGATGTTGCAACAGTTTGGAGGACTCAGAAGAAGACAGACAGATGTGAGAAAGTCTGGAACTTCCTAGATACTTGTTAGATGATTTTGACCAAAATGCTGACAATTAAATTGCTCTTAGTGAAGTAACTTAAAGTAGAAATTAAGATGACTGATTATGGTATTTTCTTCCTACTATGAGTTTCTCACTAAGCTTCAACCGCATCTACAAATTTTGTAAATGTGTGCTTTTCATTCAACTCAGGATAGCTGTAATTTCCATTGTAATTTTATGTTTGATCATTTTATTTAGAAGTGGTTAATTTCCATGTATGTGGAGAATTTATGGATTTCTTCCTGTTATTGATTTCTAATTTGACTTTGTTGCCATTATAGAAGAGGGTGTATAGTACTTCAATTTTAAAACTAATGAGTTCTCTCTAAGACCCCACATATTTGTGGCAAACAGTGTGCACTTGAAATGAATGTCAGTGTTTAGTTGTTGGGTTAAACTATAATTTTACTGTATTCGTAGGTCCTTATCGTTCGAAATTCAGTTACTGTGTTGTGTCACATTCAAATTATTTAGCTCATAACTTCATAACACATAGTGCATTGATCTTACAGAAAATAGAAAACACTGACAAATGAATCTGAAATTTCAAAATATTTATTGAACAGAAATAAAACATAAGCCCCAAAGAAAACAACATGACAAACTTTAAGTAAAATGTAATTTTCCCCTAATTATTATAATCGCTTTCTGTTCATGGTTTACAGAATGATGAATCGTTCCCTTCTATCCCTTTGTACCTATGTGTATCTAGCAGAAAAGGTCTTAGCTGTGGCTATGGGCACACTGAAACTTCCTATAAATGATTATGTTCAAATGTTCATTTACTTTCCCCAGAATAAATTGAGGCACTGGCACTGGCTGGATTGATCACAGGACAGATACTCAGGAAGGTCTGATCCTCTTGAGTTCCACGTTTATGAGCAAAAAATGGACGCCATGGCTCGCTAACAGAAATTTTGTTGAATGTGTAGATATGGCACCCATCACTAATATTGTAAAAGGAAATGGACCTCATACCTACATCCAGGAAAATCCCCACTCTGTGCAACTGGGGACCCACCCAGAGAGGAGTCATAGGCATACTGCTGGCGGCAAAGACCCTTCCTTTTCTGCAACCCACAGTCAAGAAGCCGTGTTCTGAAGAAAGCACAATCTTCCCCTGTCGGTTCACAGATTCCTTACAAATGCCCACATCCCATACTTTGCTGGTGCCCACGTTCACCTCCCAGTAATGGCGGCCGGAAGTGAAGCGAGGGGCGCCCAGGACGCACAGTGCAGTGTCGAACCTCTCAGCTTGCTCCTTCCTATTCTGGCTGAAATCCCCACTTTGGAAGCTCCTCAGGTCTTCAGAAATGATGAGATAGTTGTTGGCTGTGTCCACATCCAAGGTCATATCCACTGTGGAAATAAGAACCAGCAGTTCAGCAAAGACACAGTACAGACTCCCTCTGCCCTTTTACTGCAAACACTTGAATACATTATTCACTTTTACTTTTATTCTACTTTCTTTCCCAAATCAAAATTTCCTGGGGAAACTTGTTTGGCCACCTGATGAGGTTAAATTTTATCTATAGATTGCATGAATATAATAATTGTAACAAGTCCACCTTATTCATAGTAGAAATTCCTTTCAAA